ATTATAACGTTTTATTTATTTTATAGGAAATTCGAACCTTAAAGACCCAACTTAGAGACTTACAGGAAGAAAGTCAGCGCCAACGGATRGCGGAGGAGGAGCGATGGCGGGCAGCGGAGGAGCGACGTTTGGCGGAGGAGGAGCGACGACGACAGAGGGAGGAGGAACAGGATAGACAACTTCAAGATATGGCTGCTTTGGTTACATAGCTCAATCAATCTCAACATTTCCCCCCGCCACCATAATGAATATTGTGTTTTGCCTTTAAACAATTTAGTTTTGTTTATAACAATTTAGTTTTTGTTTGGTTGGAACAATTGTAGTTTCACTTTAATGTATGATATTTAGTTCGATTTCGTCTTTTTATTTTCAGTTTTAATATTGTACAGATTTGCAGTTTTTAAATACATGTTTTAAATATTAATTTTAAAATAAATCTAAAATATTATTATATATATATTTCCGGCGGACCAAATCCGCCGGTATTTTTTTTTTTAAATAATTATTTTTAAAATATTAATTTTTTAAAGAAAATATTTAATATATATTATTCCGGCGGATTTATCCGCCGGTATTTTAAAAAAAAATTAATTCTTTTTTAAAATATTAATTTTTAAAAGAAAATATTTAATATATATATATATTATTCCGGCGGATTTATCCGCCGGTATTTAAAAAAAAATTAATTCTTTTTTAAAATATTATTTTCTTTTCAAAAAATATTTCCAGCGAGACATATTTCCGGCGGGAAATTCCGCCGGAATTTTTTTCAAAAAAATATTTAATTAATTTTTAAGTTAATCAAGATTTTTTTTAAAAACGGATCGGAGATTTTCCGGCGGCTGTAATCCACCGGAAACGTGGGAAATCCGCCGGAAACACCGCCGGAAAAAAAATCACCGGCGCCCCTTTTTCCGGCGGCCGCCGGAAATTCCTTTTTTCGGCGGATTTGGCCGCCAGAAAAAGTGGGTTCTTTGGTAGTGTTTCATTTATTAATTAATCTAATCAATTGATTAATACTCATTTGATGAAAAGTCATTTAAAACCCTAAATCTCTAATTATTTGAGGATTCTGATAAAGGGACAAACGATATGTTCGATCTCAAATCTCTTTGAAGAAATAGTCACGACCAATCTCTTTGGACTCAACCTGACTTACCACTGTTATAATTAATATTCTAATTTGGGACAGTTAGAACTTATTATTTGCCGATCTTGATAGCCGTAAAACACTTCAATTTTGAATTTGAAATAAAAGTTATTGATGCTCAATAATGATTGCCTTTTAAACCCGTCAATGTAAAATATAGACTTATTCGGAGACTCCCGTACACAGATTTGTCAATTATAATTACACCGATGAATCAACTTTTCGTCCATCGTCACCATTCTCTTAGAATGTAAGGATTAGTTTGTACCATGTACATCCTTTGAGAAGATTGTCCCTTTTGATTTGTGTCATCAGATAAATATAAATCAGGTTCATATGCCATGCATCTTGATCCAATTATAAGAGTGATACTGTGATAAATGACCCATACTAAAGGAACCGCAATACATCTTACATAGCACATGTAGCTTGAATGAAGATTCAATTAAATAGAATCGAGAGGGACATAGAATAGAACAAATTGTAAACCATGATTGATGTTTCAAGTTTTCAACTTCATAATTCATATATGATTAATTCGAATAAAACTTAAATTCACATATGTATTTTTATATATAAATAATCAATGAAAAAGATAAGTAAATAAGTTTACATATACAATTTTAAATAAGTTATTTTTAAAGTTACTAATTATTCACATATGAATATATCCCATTCTCATATTTTTACCTTTATTATTTAAACATCCTACATATAATGGTATAAATAAAATAAAGTATGACACGTTTCCCAAATTTCAGAGGTCCAAATGAGTATTCTAAAGCCAATATGGTCAAAAGTATACAACCAGGGTCCGGGTTTCTAAGAATTAACTACACAAATGATCCCTCAACTATAACTCAATAGCAAGTTTAGTCCTTTGACTTTTTTAAATTAAAATCTTGACTCCAACTTATCACCATTTGTGCAATTCAATCCATCTTAACTACATAACCTCGAAAATTTTAAAATAGTATTTTGAACAAAAAATGATTACCAACGATCCCAACCGATCCCACATAGAACTCGTCTTAAGGACACTAATGTAGGAGTGTCAAATTTGTACCAAGACAAACCAACAGATTTCCATACCAACCGTACCAAAATTTAATCGGTATCAGTCTAATTGATTGGTAGTACCGTATCAACTATTTAAACTTGGTTAATACGTGATGTTTAATGTCGTGTACCATGGCTTTTTCAACCGATCTATCTACATGCCAGAGGCTTTAAAACGATATTTTATTTGTTTTTATTTTTATAATTCTTTTAAAACAGAACTATAACTTCATAATGAAGCTTTATTATAAGACATTATGACATGGAGGACAAATGATGAAACCTTTAGGCTTAACATAATACCTTGAATGAAAAACAAGTTCATTGAAGTACATTACTCTCATTATCAAAGGTTGATCAGTACTTCTTATTCTTGTTTATTAGTTGTTCTATTCTAACATGAATGTCAACGTTATATCTAAAGAAAACCATAATAACTATTTAATCCCTGATACTTTTACTACTATTCTTTTGTCTGTGGAAAGACATTGATATCATCATCAATCTTGTTCTTGCCTTTATCCATCGGTTGAAATGACTTTCCTAAATCAGCATGTATGATTAATCACTTGCGTTTTGATGCACTCGTTAAGACTCAAAAGGATGTAGTGGAAAATCCCATCTACCTCGAGTTTGAATCTGGACACTGTTAAAAGTCCTTGTGATCATGGAGGTTCACCTGCGACGATTCTAGGTCATTTGTGGTCGTTCGAGGGGTTAAACTCACACTTACCAAAAAGAAGATACATACATATTGATAATAATGAAAACATCACTTGGGTGTGATTGACTCTAATGTTTTTGATGCTCGTCGTGATTGTACAAACAAAGTAAGAGCTCGAACTAAAACGAAGGGACATATTTCGTTTCTTTGTAATCCTTTAATTTTATGAAAAAGTGAGTTAAAAGGACTGAATGTGAACACTTGAAAACTTTGGGGGTTAAATTAGACAATAGCTGCGAAACAATAACTAATCGGCGACACACCATTATTACCTGACGCTAAAAACACTTCGCTTTTCACACAATTCCTCGAATTTTTATCTCTCTACAATTTGATTCCAATGGTATAGGATAAGCTTTGATTTTGGGCTAAAATGGTGGTGTAAAACCCTAGCTTACCGTAGCTAGCGTTGGGGGTTCTTCGTGTTGGAACTCAGCTCGATTTCAGTTTTGGAATCTCTGGATTAGATGGGGAACTGCTGCAGATCTCCGGCGGCGGTTGCCAGGGAGGATGTGAAGTCATCGAACTACTCTGGTCATGATCATAACAACCGGAAGGACAAGGCTAACGCTGGAAATGGGAAGAAGGGACCGGTTACTGTTTTACCTGATGTATCGAAGGAAACTATTGAAGAGAAGTATGCGTTAGATAGGGAGCTTGGCCGTGGAGAATTTGGAGTGACCTACTTGTGTATAGATCGGAGCTCGAGGGAGTTGTTGGCGTGTAAGTCGATTTCGAAGCGGAAGCTACGGACGGCGGTGGATATTGATGATGTGAGGAGAGAAGTGGAGATCATGAAGCACTTGCCGGAAAACTCAAGTATTGTGACGTTGAGGGAGGCTTGTGAGGATGAGAATGCGGTGCATTTGGTGATGGAGTTATGCGAGGGTGGAGAGCTGTTTGATCGGATTGTTGCACGAGGCCATTATACGGAGCGTGCAGCTGCCGCAGTCACTAGGACGATTGTGGAGGTTGTGCAGCTATGTCATAAGCATGGAGTGATTCATAGAGACTTAAAACCGGAAAATTTCTTGTTTGCGAACAAGAAGGAGAATTCGCCTCTCAAAGCCATTGATTTCGGCTTGTCTATCTTCTTCAAGCCCGGTGATTTTTCTTTACTCAAATATTTCCAAAAACTAGGGCTTACAACTTATAGCGGCAAATTAATATGCGACTGAGGCTCCTCATTATTGTTTGTGTTAGAATCACAAAAGTCACTATCTTATTTATAACTTAGATGCGCTATGTTAGGACATATTCAGTTCTGTGAATTATGTTGAAAAACATGGCTTGACAAGAAGATTGATCTACTAAAATGAACATTGGAGACATTCTTGTAGTGATCGTGCTCACAAGTGTGCGAAGGTAGAGTATATAAACTGAATTTACTCATCCTCCACAATGAGTGTGAGTTTGGCTCTAGTGTTACACACATACACTGCCATTCTATCCTTCACTCCACTCACCACTCATATATGCACCGTTTAGGATGTTATTAGTGAGTTTCCTTTCAAGTTTCATCATCTTTGTAAGTTTTCACCTTATGCTAATGCTTACATTTCTATCTCTTAGTCCATATTAAGTGGAAGAGATAAATGGAAGTCTAATGAAATGAATACTGCCAATTTATAGAAAGGAGATTCTTGAACTCTGTCAAAATTAGTATGATAACATGACATCAAGGAAAGTTCACTGTAGACTCAGGCAAGTAGAACCACATATTTTCCTGGGAGTCAACTATGCTAGCCACAGACCTTTAAATGTCGTAACTAGAATGAGCCTCATTTTTGTTTGATCCATCCTTAAATGCTTGGATGATGGATTTGGAGTTCTTGCTACCTCCCCTTTGCTCCATGCTTCCATGTGAATCAATTGAATGGATATTGTAATCTTCAGGTCCAGGCCAATTATCAAGGATTAGTCGAAGTCAAGCAGTTTGCTGGGCCTTTTTTTGTTTAGTTGTCTATGCTTATTGTTATTTGTGTCTCTTCAGATTGCACTATGATCAGCTTTATGTTAGCTGTAACTGCAAGTTTTAGGAATATGAATGTCCAAAAAAGGGGACATGGACCTAACTTATTACTTATCCAATGTCACTCAATCCTGTTTGTTCCTTCCTCAATTTGGATTACAAACAATGGGTTCTAAGCTGCAGATATCTCAAAATCCATAGTTACTGATTTAATCAGAACTCTTTAATGAGAAGTTCAAAGATGCTGTTGTGTAATTTCCATATGATATGGAAATTTCTATTCAATTTTCACACAAAATTATGCATAAAAAGATTGACCATGTGGATCAAATATCTATTGCTTGAATGAATTTTCTAACAATCAACTTATTATATATAGGTGAGAGGTTCTCTGAAATTGTTGGAAGCCCATATTACATGGCTCCAGAGGTGCTTAAGCGTAATTATGGACCAGAGATTGATATATGGAGTGCCGGAGTAATTCTTTACATTTTATTATGTGGTGTACCTCCATTTTGGGAAGGTAAGTCCTCGTTCTTTAGATGATTGATATGTTACTCTTCAAGTAAATGAACATATTGTAGCGTTTTCTTGTTGTTGGAAGGGGGTGGATTCCACGAATACAGTTTATGCTACATTATTGCTTACGCTCTTTTGGCTCTTCACTGATATCTTTTAATGGGCTAAGCGAGATTCGGTGATTGACCAGAATTGTCATTTGTATTTTTTTTCAGTGGATGTTCTTTACTGCATATTTGTTATTTTTGCTTGGCAAGATTCTGTTAATGTTCTTAGCCTACAGGTTAAATTCTGTTTGTTTATATTGAGTTTTCTAATGCAGAGTCAGAGCAAGGGGTTGCACAAGCCATTCTACGCGGGCTAATAGATTTCAAGCGTGAACCATGGCCTAGTGTTTCTGAAGGTGCCAAGAGTCTTGTTCGGCAAATGTTGGAGCCTGATCCAAAGCTTCGCCTCACGGCTAAACAAGTGCTTGGTATGTTTATGGTCAACGCATAATAGACGATTTGTATTCTGAAAAGAATGACTCCTGTGATATTTAATATTTGAAACCTAGTTTTTTCTTTTTCCAAAATATCTTTCATTTTTGCAAGCCCAATTGCTATCTGTCAACAATGACCACCTGCGTGGAGGTTTTTTTGCCCTTACATGTCATGGTGAAGGAATAATGGAAACTTGAATGTTCGATTTGAAGACTTCATTCTGCATTGATCATTCTTGTCTTGCAACTTAGATTTACAAGTTAGAATTTTTAATGGATGAACTGTTTAGAAGATGGGTATTGCCACTTGAGATTCACCAACTCTCCAGCCTATTTTCCTACCTTGCTAGTTATGTCATGCATCTGGGACTACCACATAACATGCAAATATGATTTTAATGATATGGCTATAGAACGTCAGATTTACTGCCAACTCATTGAATATTAATATATGGACAAATGATGCAGATTGGGGCAGAAGATATTGAGCGCTTATAAGAGTTCAATGTGGAGAATGCTAATTTCGAGTTACTTTCCTTGTTCTTTACATAATTTAACCATAGTTATTTGTAAAGGCAATGCACCAAAAATGGTGGCCTAAAAAACCCACTAAAACATTTTTAATATTATAATAATAAAATAACATATCTATTTATTATTATACTATTTTATTAAAACGTAATAATTATAATATGTACTAATGTTTATAATCAATAAATAATTATTTCTTGAATTTTAAAAATAATTTATTTAATGCAACATTTTTCTTTAACTTTTGAATGGAAATTTAAATTATTTAAATGTAATTTACAATTTAAAACAAAAAATAATTAAATTACTAAACTTCATACAAAATATTAAACAATGTATAAAATAATCGTAAAAACCAATAAAATATTAGTATGTAAGTTACAAATTTGGCCTCCAAATATAGCTGCCAAGATTTTGACCTCCAATATATAGAGAGGCCAAGTTTGAGCACCTCCATTTTTGTGCGTTATGGAGATGGGTTGGAGAAGAAAAAGCCTCCATTGTGTTTTAGTGTTGGGTTCAAGAAAACTCTCATGTCACACCAATCACCAGTGGCTCGAACTTTTCTACAATGCCTTAGTTCCAAAAATGGAGGATATTTGTTAGATCGACACTTTTGGTGAAGTTTGAAGCCACTTCCGCACCATGTGACTATCTAGGTTATTGTACGTAGTGAAATCATAAATCAGAAGGCATGAAAGCTATACATGCTTTTATTCGAAACTATGTGTACATCTTTCAGTATGCTTCTAGATTGTGAAAAGCATTAGTAGAAGAATCTAATTGACATGTTTGTTTCTACTGCTCGTGATATGACCAGTCTTCTTGTTATATAGTTCATCAACTAATGTCAAGTGGATTTGCTGTGTCCACAGTTATATTCCAAACTCTTACACACCTGTATTAATTTTAAGTCACCTGTACGTCTCCTAATGACCCTTTTCTGATACAAATCTGGTATTATGTTGTAGATTATCAAATCATCTCAAGCAATGTTTTGTCATTACTTGTTTCTTCAATTGGTGCCATTCAGATATCTCCACCACCCTCACTTCTACTTTGTTCATGTTTATGTGGCTAGATGACAGCCACCTTAGTATTTACATTTTTATAAGCGAATTGCATGTCGATGTTGTCTCTTGGTGACTGAACATTTGTACTCATAATGCATCCAAGCTCTTGCTGCCTTCCCATCAAACTTACGTTTAAACCACAAAGGTGGTGCCTGATTGGTTTGAGCTTGGCTCCAAAGGTCAAAAGTACCAGGAGATCCCAGGTTCAAAATCCAAGGAGGAATAAAAATCACCTTGTGGCCACGGAGGTTCAAATGCAGTGACTCCGAGCTATCTGCAAAGCAGGTGGTCGCCCTGGGATTAGTCGGCTCGTATAGCGGGTTGGATATCCAGGTTAATAAAATAAAAAAAAAAACTTACATTTAAACTTCAACGCGCTTCTTTTAATGGAATTTTATTCAGAAAGCACATACTTCCTCTGTATCACAAGAAATACACATTTTTTCAATTTTGGATGTCCTATAAGAGATGCAATGAATCCTATTTGGGAAATCTGTAAATCAGTAAATCACCAATAGGCACCATAGTAGCAATCATTAAAAAAGTTAGTAAACGAATTTGAATCACATAATTGGCTTATTGTTCATGGGCATTTCGGGTGTTGGGCTAATGGTCAACAATTTCTATCCGATCCTCGATATCCATGTAGGGTCAAATGTTCCAGGCAGTATTCTTAGGACGTGGAAGATGTTTGCGTTGAACTGCAGTTTTGATATCTGTTATGTGACAACTCGTAAATATGAATTCAATCATCTCATGACTATGTGCATTCATACATGCATTTGTTTTTTTTGGTCCTTGTCTAAACTCTTAATGTATAATTTCTGCTTACAGAACATTCTTGGCTCCAAAATGCTAAAAAAGCCCCGAATGTTCCTCTTGGTGATGTTGTCAAATCAAGGCTAAAGCAGTTCTCAATGATGAATCGATTCAAAAGAAAAGCTCTGAGGGTTGGTTTAATTTTCTCTTCCTTTTTTTCTTGTTTACATAAGAAAGTGCACATAGAATGCAGTTCATCAACCTGAATTTGTGACGGTTTTCTATGTATAGGTTATTGCTGATTTCTTGTCCAATGAAGAAGTTGAAGACATCAAAGACATGTTCAAAAAGATTGACACTGATGATGATGGCACTGTTACTATTGAAGAATTAAAAACTGGATTGCAAAAGTCGAATACACAGCTTGCCGAGTCCGAAATACAGTTGCTTATTGAAGCTGTGAGTCTAACTGCATGTTTGTCTTCATTTACCTTGCTCAACAATTAGTAAACCATTACAGATCACTACAACAAAACTCCAAAAATGTCCAAAATATCCTAATGGACACTTTATAAGACCTAAGTTTATAGGACCAAACAATTCTACATTCTATGTGTTCTGTTGCTATAAGTTTAAATGATGCTTTGGGTGTCTTAACAAGTTCATTAGGACACTTTTGAAATAAAACGTCTTATTAAATTTTCTTATACGACATTATTTGAAAAAGTGAAGTGTCCTATAAAAAAATGTGTTTATAGAACACTTCTCAGAATCGTCATGTAAAAAAGCTAATACGACACTTTATTTTAGAACTTCCATATTAGAATTACATTGATCTTCAGTGACAGTGATCAGGTATGTTGTTTGTTGGTTACAGGTAGATACAAATGGAAAAGGCACCCTAGATTATGGCGAATTTGTTGCCATTTCACTACATGTGAGGAAAATGGCGAATGATGAGCATTTGCACAAGGCTTTCTCATACTTTGACAAAGATGGTAACGGCTTCATAGAGCCTGATGAGCTTCGAGATACCTTAATGGAAGACGGAGATGATAATTCTGCAGATATTGCAAATGACATCTTCCAAGAAGTTGACACGGATAAGGTGAATTTGAAGAGTCCAACTTGTTCATATCTGTTTCTGGAATCTTCTAATCTTACTTTCTACTGTTCATATCCAATGATGCAGGATGGCAAAATCAGTTACGATGAGTTTGCGGGCATGATGAAAACGGGAACCGATTGGAGAAAAGCTTCTCGACATTATTCAAGAGGCAGATTCAACAGCCTGAGTGTGAAGCTGATGAAAGATGGTTCGCTAAACTTGGGGAGTACCCAGTAAGGTTTCTCTGCTTGATTTGTTTTGTAAGTATATTGTTGGGTTCTGTTGGATTAGATGGCGTTCGATTGGTTGACCTACAACAGGTGAGTTGTTCCTACCTATGCTACCTCTCCTGAAATGTTGTAAATTGGACAGATAGTATGATTCTGGCCTCTTTTACCACTTCAAATGTTTTAGAGCTTGTATTGGTTTATAACATGAAATGTGGTGGTGGTATTTTTAGCCAAAAAAAGTAGGCATTGTTTGGTTTTCATTCATTTGATCAAGCTATTATAAAGATTAGTTTTGTTAAGTGATATGTTCTTTTATTATGTAAGAGTTTGAAAACCTACCTGAACTTGTATATCGCATTTAGTAATGAGTAAGGGGCCATTTACCTATGCTAAGTGGGCAAGAGTCACCACATTCGCTTACCTTACCGAGTAAAAGATTATTGGTCATCAAAATGGCATCGTAAGATTGTTGATAAGCATCTCTTACCTAGTAAGTGCTAATTGGGCAGAAGTTACCACATTCATTTACCTTGCCATCAATTAACATCGTAAGATTGTTGGTAAACGTCTCTTAGGGGCTGTTTACCAAACACTTACCAGGTAAGTGTTTACCGGCAATAGAAATTACTTTCACTTACCTTATGATAAAGATTCGAATTGTTGATAAGTTTCTTAAACCTGGTAAGTGCTTATCGGGTAAGTGCTTACCTATATGAGCCAACATTATAATTTACCTTGATGTGTAAGATTTTAGTATATCAAAACCTATCGAATGCAATAATTTACCGGGTAAACATTTATCTGGATAAGACCACATCATTCTCATCGCTCTTATCCGGTATGATTCTTGGCCCTTGTCATGTTCATCCGATAAGAAAATTTATCCGGTAAACACTTACCAAGCAAGCATTTAGTAAACAACCACTTAAAGTCTAGTCCAATAAACGGTGTGGATGTGCCATTTGAGCTTCTTGTTATTCATTTGTGAATTGTGACAGGACTTAGAGGGGTGCCATAGACAAATTCCCTTTAAATCAAACTCTGCGTTACCATTAGAGGAATGCCGCGTCCAGAGCGTGTGAAAAAGACAAAGGTGCCCTTGGAGGACATGTTAAGACCAGAACAAATACGGGTCCCACCACTCACCAAAAAAGCAAATAAAATATAATCGATAAAATAAATCAAAAAATATGATGAAATGGTTCTCAGTCACTTTGAAGTTTCTTTAAAAACAATTGAATTTTGACATTTAATCGTCTACAACGTTTTTCATCCCAACTACAAGGGCATAAACGTAATTTCGTAGCCAATTATGCTGGCCAGTGGCATTATCCTCGCGATCCTTCGATAATATTCATAAAGCTGCAAGTAACTATATAAGTATATATACACCATCCATCCTCCATTTCAATTCAATCACACCAAAATTCTTCATTCACCGGCGGAATCATGGCGGCGCGTTACGAACTGGAGGTCACGGTTTCCTCCGCCAAAAACCTCAAAAACGTCAACTGGCGGCACGGCCCTCTCAAACCCTACGCCATCGTCTGGGTTGACCCCAAAAACAAATGTTCTACACCGGTAGATGAAGAAGGCGATGAATCGCCGGTCTGGGATCAAAAACTCGTCATCGCTCTTAACGATCCCATCGAGGAATCCACCCTCTACATCGACATCGTTCATGCCAATGCGGCGGAGGACACCAAGCCCTTAATCGGCTCCGCCAAGCTCAGACTGAAGGACGTCGTTGATGAGGTCGGAATCGGTGAGTGTTTTGCAGATGGTTTAAAGCTTAAACGTCCTTCCGGCCGTCCCCAGGGGAAGGTGGAAGTGAAAGTATATATCAGGGAACCACGCTATCGTGCGCCGGATCCTTACTACGCACCTCCATACGGTGTTCCCCCACCGCAACACCCTGCTCCGCCACCCTATCCCTACGCGGCACCGGCACCCTATGGTGGGAATTATCCTTATTCTGCACCGCCGTCAGGGTATCCATATTCACCTTACGCTGCTCCTCCTCCTCCTCAATACGGGCAAACTTATGTGCAGCCTGCTTACGGCGGTCAACCGGCGTACAGCGGTCAACCATCGTATGGCGGGTACAGGGAGGAAAAAAAGAGCAAGTACGGAATGGGGACTGGACTGGCGGTTGGTGCGGCGGCGGGACTGTTGGGTGGGCTGGCGATAGCGGAAGGAATTGATCATGTGGAAGATGAGATCGCCGAAGATGCCGCCGATAAGGTTGAAGAAGATCTCGGTTACGACGTCGACGATGATTAGACCCTTTTCCTTCTTTTTTTCTTTTTCATAAGAAATGAAAAATGCTGCTTTAATGGGTTTCTAATAATAAATAATACGAAACTTGTTTGGAATTGTTTATTTGGAACGATTTATGTTTTTATATAAAAGTTTTTATCAATTTATTATAAGTTATAATGGTTTAACTTTCTTAAAAACATATTATACCGGTTTAACATCGGTATAAACTGTTTATCTGAACATTTAAAAATGTTTATTATCGATGTCACATTGAAATAAGTTAATAAGTTGTTTTTATAAGCAATTCCAACCCCCTAACATATAACTTTTTACAATTATTTCATAGCAAAATGCAAAGAAATATAACATACTATCTTTTTTTTGGCAAAGAGTTGTCTGGATAAATTTATTTGTCTGGATAAATTTATGTTGTTATTTACTTTTCTATCTGAATTAACAGTCTGAGTAACATAAATGATTCACTTACCCCTGAGGATGAACTAGATGCTGTTTAGTAACTTGTTGTTCATTTTTTAAGGTAAATAATATTTTTGAAAAATAAAATATTTAAATATCAAAACATAAATTTATAAATTCATTTATATCATCCAATAAATTAAAACATAAATTCATAAAGTACTTAAAAATCCAAGTTCAAATACAAACTAGCCAAGTTTAAATCCAAGTTCAAACACAAAAATTTAAGTTCAAACATTATTGATCAAACTATTTGTAATTTCATCTCTTAAAGTAGTCATATGTTGAGTGCTATTAGCACCCCATTGGGAAATTCTTCTTCTCCATTTCCTTAGATTTTTTTTTCGTTGTTAAATATACTATCATCATTACACTCCATAAACAACTGGTCTTGAATATTATATTTTCTGATGAAATTATGTATCACAAAACAAACAATTACCACATTACTTTGTGTTGTAAATGGAAAGGGAGCCATTTGCTTTAAGATCAAAAATCTCGCTTTCAAGTTACTATAAGCACGTTCAATAATATTTCTAAGTTGGGCATGTGCATGATTAAACCTTTCTTCTTTAGTCAAAACACGTCGACGTCGAAAATCTGCCAATCAATATCTTGTGTTACGATATGGCGTACGCATCATCACAAAGATAATATTTATCTGAAAAACCACCCACATCAATCGTATAATATACAAATAAAAACTTTATAAGTTGAGAATGGTTTATACCTTGTGGTGGAAAGGGAAAACCGGATCTTGGGTTAAAAGCAACTTCCCTAAGTATTCTAGAATCATGCGCTATATTTTCCCATCCAACCCAAACAAAAGTAAATATCATGTTGAAATCACAAATTCCTAGAACATTTTGATAGCATCGACCGCCACCTCTTCCCCTGTAAGCAATTTGATGACTAGCTGACACAATTGCATGTATAAGGGTACTGTCTAGAGCACTTATTGCACCCTTCATTAATAGAAAAAAGATTAAACACATGTATATGTGTGTGTGTATTTATATAAAACTTTAAAATCTATATATATATATATATATATATATATATATATATATATATTAAAGGAGAAACCAAAGATAATGAGGTGACACCTTTTAATGCTTAGAACCACTCCTATCTTTTTTCTCATTTTTTTTATTTTTTTAAATGTTTAATATGTTAAAGACTTTTTTACCCCTAGATGAAAAATGTATAGCTCATAATTGACCCGGGTTATTTTTGTAATTTTGTATACCTAAGTTTAACCTCCAACTCTTGATTTGCTCTTCCATTTACTTTCTTTTATTTCTTAATGAAATTTGTTTTTTAAAGTTTCAATAATAAACAAAATGAAACCATATAAAATCCTTTGGTGAAGGATGAAAAAGATGAGAGTTAAAGAAGGATTCAAAGATTTTAAAAGGTATGTAGAAATTATATTCATTAAAAAATGTAATTTGTTATTACATATTTCTTTTTCAATATTGTTGGATGGTTGTTATCATAGGATATGATTGTGTTTACGATTGGATCATATAAATTGTGTTTACGATTTGATCATATAAATTCGAATAAAATTTTGATATTTTATAATCACAGGATATGATAAACTTTTTTTTGAATTTAAGCTTCATTAACAATAACTATTTATACGTGATTGATAATTACGTTAAATTTTGACTATTTCAAGATTTTTTTTTTCAATTAATAGAAATCCTTTGGTGAGTAATGAAGAAATAAAAGTTGAAAAAAACTTAAAGCTTTTAAAAGGTATCTAAATATTATATTATTTACAAAATGTGATTTGTTATTACATATTTTTTTCTTTTCAATATTGTTGGATTTGTTGTTATCGT